CTGAAAAGCCCCACCTATGAGCACAGGAGGCTTTAGGTGACTTTAGATACCAGTCGTAGCAATGTATGTGTAGCAAATACTAGCCTGACACGCATCTGACCTATTTCCTCTTCCTAAAGCACAAGCAAACTGTATGTTAAGGGTTCTCCTCCTCTAAGTGGGGCTAGGAATGGTAAGCATGAATACACTGATAGCTTCAATCAAAGGCACTAAAGACACTTCCTTGTATTTGTGCTTTCTTTTTTTTTTTTTTTTTTATTGTTGTCATTTGTTTGTTTTTTGAGGCAAGGTCTGAATATGTAGACCAGTCCAGGCTGGCCATGAACTCACAGTAATCCTTTGGCTCGGCCTCCTAAGTACAGGGATTACAGGTGTGTGTCACCATGCCTGGTTCACTCTTTTCTGATGTAACTGCATTACCAATGTTTAGCATTTGCTTTTACACTTTTTAATCACTCTGTGAATACTATTTACCCCAGACACCATGTGTATTCACTGGAAACAAGCCCGCAGAAAGTAAATCCCCATAAGTGACAGAGACGGTGCCTCCATGACTGCTGCATCTTCCCCTCAGATTCCAAGGATCCCATAAACACTGGCTCTCTGGCCAGTATATTCTAATCCCTTAGATATATTTTGTTAGAAAAGTCTTTGCTCTGCCCAGTGATATTGTTGTATAATTAATTAATTCCAGGGTACTTACTGTCAAGAGACTGAAAAATAGTATTTTGTGATTCTAACAAGGTGGAAAACAATGCATAAGCCATTTCTTCTTCACTGTTTCAAAGAATCGGGACAGGCAATTCCAGGACTTCCTCCACCAACCTCAGCTCCTCTCGCTGCCTGCTTCTCAGGCCCTGGATGTGGAGGACAGGTCAACTGGGTTCAAATCCTCCTCCGCGTCTACACCTGGCAGGGTGGGCTTTACCTAATGGCCGGCTCTTCAGTGAAAGGATGTATTTTCTTGGTTTTCATTGAGTCCTGAGTGTGAGTGTGAATGTGGCAATCGTTTTTAGTGTGGTTTAGTGCATGTTAGGCACACATGACCACAAAGCCTAATTTTAAAGTAAAGAATAATCAGAACCCTCTTGAGTGTCTGCTTTAAGCACTGTAAACCTGTGCTAGGAGCCGAGTGTCACACCATTTCCATTTCCCTTCTTGGTCCATTCTGTGGGCTCTCTCACCACCACCCAGCACCATGCAGTGCAGACCTCTTCCCTGGGCTTCTCTCCCAGAAACACAAAGCACTGTTGGTCACTGCCAGCAGGACCGAGGGCTCCCCAAGCTGGAGCTTTAATGGGCTCGGTATGCAATTCCCATGACCCAGGACATGGCTGGGCAGCAGAGATGGCATCACAGAGGAGTGGACTGCACAGCCACATAGCATCTCAGGATGGGTCAGGAGTGTCCATCTAGGTACCAGGCAGTGCAACCCACCGTCCCTCCCTCTCCAGGGTTACCCGGAAAGCTCGGGCTACACACTGCCCTGCAGTCACTTGCACTCCCGTGCTTTGTAAGCACGGTGACAGCAATGACAGTGTGCAACAGGTGAGTGATGGTCACTCTTTAAATGTGTAGGTAGGCAGTCAGCTTCTTCACGGCCAAAGGAGTAACACTCTGAATTCCCCCGGGGGGACAGATCCTTCTCTTCCTCTCCATCAGGTTCACTTTTGGAATAAAATCTGTCATATAATTCACTGCGCCCGGCTCCCCAATGAGGGCTCATCTCCAAGCCTGAGTGGGGCAGAGACCGTATCGCCTGTCTTTGGGACCACGGGGAGGCACTGGAGCATGCTCGCAATGCTACCTTGGGCAGGCCGGGTGAGGACTGAGCAGAGGCAGGAAACAGCCTCAGGCAGGGGCTCAGGAGTGAAGCTGTGGGGAGGAGCCAATGCTCTGACGGCCTCGGGGCCAGCACTTATACCCCAGATAATTTGGAAATGAGCTTCAATTTATTTTTTTCCAATACCTGGGATCAAACTCATGACCTCGTGCTTGCCAGGCGGGCACTTACGCCACTGAGCTAAATGTTCGGTCCAACTTCAACTGATTTTAACTTAAAAGCTCTCTTAATGTGTATACTTGTATAGGCCTTTGCATTTTTAAATCTCCTTTTAGTCCATAGAACCATGAGTCAGGGCAGTTGTAACGTAACACATGTTGTCACGGTGTATATATATAACATGGCATGCACATTGTGACATACATATGGCACGCATAATGCAAAGCATTGCAGAAAGCTGTCGTCATCTGTAAGCCACAAAGGTTGCCATTCTGACCAGCTGTCACTTGGTGAAAGTTACACAGAGAATTCAAGACAGAGCCAGGGCTCCAGCTCGAACCTGATCTCAAGTGTAGTGAGCTCTTTCCATTTCGCCCAGCTCCTATCTTGCAGAGGCTTTATTTCTTTTTTATTTTAAAGGGAAAAATAAAGAATAAAAACAATGATACAGAATGTCAAAACATCAAGTTAGGAAAATTAATAATGGTAACTGCATTATATTTTGCTATCTTCAAAGTAGTGGCTCAGATTATAAAGTAGGCATGTATGATTAAACAAAGATTATGAGCACAAACTTTTTTTCAAAGAACTGAAAGAAATCAGTAGTATAACCAGCTTTTGGTATATGTATATGTATATGTATATGCGTATGCGTATGTGTATGTGTATGTGTATGTATATGTATATGTATATGTGTATATGTGTATGTGTATGTGTATGTATATGTATATGTATATGTATATGTGTATATGTGTATGTGTATGTGTATGTATATGTATAATTTGTACGTGTACTCTTTTCACCTTTCGCCCTTTTCAGTTGTCTTTTCCTTTTGAGCAGCTTCTTTTGTTTCAACAATATCTATTGTAGATTTTGGATCTTATTTACTTTTTCAGTTTCGTACACTAGGGAGACGATGCGGTGCTACCTATGGGAGTCTGATCTGTTTCACCAGAGGATGTATTTCTAAGAACGCTAGCCCAGGGGAAGCTGGACCTTGGTGCAGACAGCTGTGTTCTCCCAGGGCACACACTGCGCCATCCCTCCTGATCAGTGCACACGCAGCAGGGCCGACCTCGGGGTTCCCTGCATCCCACTCCCAGCTCGGCCTCTCCAGAAAGGAAATCCAGGCCTCAGGATCTGGTGAGGATTCACACTGTTAAAGTGCCTGATGTTCCAGCGTGCGTTTTTCTTTCACTTCTGTAACGGAACCATGGCAGTGCCTTTTAACACCTTAGAGTGCAAGAGTTTGTGAGAATGTTCTGAAAGCAGGTTTGCATTTGTGTACAATTCAGAGAAAACACTGGACAATAAAGCAGGGACATGGGAAAGTTAACTGGGCAACCAAAGAGAGCAAAGGGGGCTTGGTTTCGTCTGCTGCTAAGCTATGAATTGCACCCCCCAAATATATTCAAACCCTCACACCAGGTAACAGTGAACACGCTCTATTTGGAAACAGGGTCTTTTGCAGGTGTAATCAAGTTGAAAGAAAGTCACGTAGCGAGGGCTGGGAACCCAATGCTGAGCTTCTTAACCGGAGAAAGGAGAGGGAAGTCCGGACACCAAGGCAAGGGAGGAAGAATGGTGACAACAGAGACACAGATGAGGTGACACAGCCCCGCAGGGCTGCCAGAGCCACCGGCAGTGAGGAGGGCACCGGGGCTTCCTGGAGCCATCAGGGAGCGCGGCCACAGTGCCTCCATGATTTCAAAGTCACAGCCCAAGAACTGTGACAGCAAGGTCAGGGGAGGCCTCAGTCGGAGGAAACTAACAAGTAACATCATCCCTCAGCCTCAAGTCCACTCCTCGGGGACATTTGGGCTTGAAAGTTAACTCGGTACCAGTTAGTTAGTTGATCTGTGTTCCCAAAATGAGCAACACTGGCTCTGTCACTGTGGCTGTGCCCGCCGTCCACACCCGTCCATGGGCAGGATGGACAGGCCCAACATTTTAGATAAATTACACATCAGCCTACAGGATGTAATAGGGCAGAGTCCTAATAACGTCCCATAAATAACACAGCTTGTAAAATGTCACTGCTATTGACCCATAAGGACCCTCTGAATCCTAACTTTAAAGGGAGCTAAATGACAGTAGATTGCTGGCCACGCCAAAGTCCTGAGGTCACCTGCCTCCAGTTCCTTCCCCAACTCCACCACAAGGTCCTACAGCCTCGGGACAGAGCCGAGCTCCAAGCCCCCAGAATATGGCTGGGGCTTCTAACCATTCCTATGCTTCCAGTTAAATTACACTTGGGCTCAGGGGCAAAATAGGGAGTTCGGCAGGATGCATTTCAGCCAAGCGGCCTGACCTGGGCCTAAAGCGGCCAGAGTCCGGTGCCGGGAGCCTAGGGAAGCGCAGGGTCCCGCAGGAGCCCTGTCCCTGGTGCTGTCCCACGACAGGGCCTGCCAGGGAGCTCCTCCTGGAATTCCAGGTGCACCAGGATCGCCCTGGCCGGTGCGCCCCGGAGCCTAGGTGGAGCGGGAGGTCTGAGGACCTCAGCAGACACCTGGACCTCATCCGCCACCCCTCCTGTGGCCAGGCGGCCACCTCGAAATTCCGAGAGAATCCGCACAGACTGGGGGCACTGGAGCGGTGGGCCGCGGTGCACAGGGGCGGCGCAGCCTGCATAGGAGCCGCTCCGGCCGTGCCCACTCGGAACCGCCGGCCGCCGCAGCCTCCAGGCGCCGGGGAGGTGGGTCCCGCCCGCCCCGCCCCGCCCCGCCCCGCCCGCGCTCTCGGGGTCCCGCCCGCCCCCGCGCCCCGCCGCGGCCCCCATTCCCGGGCTTCCCCCGCCCCCGGCCCGCCGCCGACGTCAGCGGGAATTTCCAGCAGGAAGTGAGAGCGCGGCGAGGCCGAGGCAGCGCCGCCGCCCGCAGGAAGAGGAGGTTTCGCCACCGGCGGCCGGGCCGGCGCTGCCTTCCCCGCGGTCCGCGCCTGCTGCTCCGCGTCCCGCCGTCCGCGCTGCGCCCGCGACATGGAGGCGCGCTGACCCGGCCCGGCCGGCCCGACCCGACCCGACCCGGCCCGATCCGGCCCGATCGCCAGCACCGCCGCGGCCGGCCCGGAGACCCGCGCGCCCCGGACCGCCCCGGACCCTCCCCGGACCCGGACCGGACCGGACCCGGCGAGGTGAGCAGGGCGCGCCCCGCGGCGCAGCCACTTCCTCGTTCCGGGCCAGGCCGGGCGGGCGGGAGCCGGACCCCGAAGCCCCGGGCGCGGCCTGGCCTGCCCGCTGCGCCCCGAGCAGAGCCGAGCGGGGCCTGGTCCCCGCAGGCCTGGCGCTGCAGGCGGGAGCTCCCCGCGCCGCGCTTCGGGGACGCTCGTTATGTACAAGCCGGCACCAGGCACCGGGCAGCCAGTGACCTCTGGGCCACAGTGCCCGGGCAGCCGCCTGCCTGCCTGCCGGCCTGCCGGCCTGCCGGCCCCAACCCTGGACCCGGCGGAGGGGCCGGCCCGGGTTATTGCTCTGTTCCAAAACTGAAATAGGACTGGGGGTCCCGGATCCGGTCAGCAAGATTTAAGACTTTTCTGTGCATCGGTTAAGTGCAGCTTTATGTGGAGTTTGTAGTATAACAGTATTTAACCTAAAGATTTTGTTGTGAGCTTCTAAGAGAGAAATAGCTGTTACAGTGCCCGTGCATTCACCAGGCACCAGAACACTCTTCTGATGGGCTTTGCTCTACGAAAAAGCTTCTGATCAAGATTTCATGGGTTTTCTCTCAAAACCCAACTGGAGTCTTGAGTAGTTTAGGTTAGTAATTGTTAGTAATTGTCTAATCCAAAAGGAAACTGGATTAGAATTAAGCCTTTGTCTGAAGTATGTTGTTTTCCTGATTTTCATATTGTGCTTTCTAGACATGAATCTTTTTGCTGTTTGATCCACTAGAAAATTATGTAAATAATTTAAAACAAGGGGTTTATTTTGTTTTGAGCTTATTGCCTTGGGAAGACAGAAAATAAAAAGAGAGGGGCTTCCAATGGCGCTTTGTATTTGTCAAATGTAATGAACAGGAGCATGAAATCTTAAGCTGCCCTCCCCTAGCCACAGGCTTGGCACTCCCTCACCTGTTCAGATAAAAGGTCTTCCTGGGTCGCAGCCTGCTCAGCAAACCAGACGCCACGGAAGGTGTGTGACATGTGGATTTAGGGCTGGAACTCAGGCTACTTAACTGTGAAAAATCACCCACTTCTAAACTGTTTGAAACAATTCTTTAAGCAAGTAGATAACCCTGTGCGACTGGTGCTATGCGGCTGGTGGCGATTTGACACTGTATTATCTCAGTTTTGAAATTTCGGCCTTATCGTGTATTCTGCAGTTGTTAAACCCTTGAGCTGAGTGAGTGTCCCTGGTTTCTGAGCCCAGGCAGTAACTGCTGGGGTATAACACTTCAAAAACAGTCCTGCCCCTGTCAGCACTGCTTTGATCTTTGTACTTCCTTTTTTACTTCTTTTTAATCTTTTAAGATTGTCTGTGATGATCAAATTGCAGTTGGTGGAAGCCCAGTGAGTCTAAACAGGCAGATTTCAGCCCGAATGAGCTGGTTCCTTACGGTTTTCACTGTGCGTGCAGTGACACAAATGGAAGCCCGCGTGAGAAAATAGAATCTTGGCAGGCTGTTTTGATCACTGCTTTTAGACTTGTAGACAGTTGAAGAAGTGAGCGTCTACGTTGGCTTTCAGCAAACTTGGCAGCTGTGAGGATCCTGGGCCGGCACTCGTCCGCACACCCTTTGTCTTACCTGATTTATGAGAGGTATTTCCCTGTGCAGAGGTGAAAGTCCTCGCCTCTGAGGGGAAGTGGTTACTGCAGAACCTTCAATGATTTTGAACTCGGGAAAAGCAGTTGACATTTTAAAACAGTAAGATGAAATAATGCGATCTGAGTTGCCATGTAGGTTTTGTTGTTGTTTTTTGGCGGTGCTGGGGATGGAACCTAGGGTCCCAGGCACGCTCTGCCACTGAACTTCACCCCCAGCCCTGGCGTGTGGATTTCTGGTGAGGCGATCGAGGTGTCGTCTTCTCAGTGGTGAGAACTGATTGGTAGACAAGCTGCTCTCTGTGCAGCAGGAAGTAGATGAGGAATGCAGGCAGTGAATCAATGTGCTGCTCTGCTCTGCAGGCTGAGTGATAATCCCCTTAGCCAAGCCTCTGCGGAATTTCTCCTGAACCTGCCTCACTTTCAGTAGCAGGAAGGTTGCTTGGATTGGCCGGCTTGTTGGCGCTGTCTCCAGGATGGACTGTGGAGGGCAGTGGGGTTGTTGTGTAAGAAGACCAGGAGGAGGTGGGAGAATAGAAGCTTAGTGTTAGAGGACACATGTAAGGTGTCCTGCTCCTGCATCTGTGTCTGTATCCGGGGGGCTGATGGGCAGTGGCTCCCTGGAACAACAGCTCCTGCTCTGCGAGTTAACTCTGCTGTGAGGTCTTATGCCTGGCATGAGCCCTGTGCCAGCCTGCGCTTCAGAGGCAGCAGAGATCCCTGGAGGAGCAGAGATCCCTTTGAGCTGACCCCAGTCATGGTTGGGAAACGTGGGGGAATGAATGGTTTGAAACCAACACAAGCCGGCATAGTGGATAGTTACAGTAACATAACCAACCCACCTAGCCTTGCACTTGTCCCTTGGTGACTATGTGTGAGTTTAAAAGGAAGAAAGAGCCACATTCGTGCTGAGACTGCTTCTGCTGCCGCTTGCAGGGTGTCTCTTGGTGCAGATCCACGCACCGGCTCTGAGATGCTCAGCTGAGGGAGACCTGGCCTTGAACTGGCAACCAACAGTTTAGGAAGAGTTGTGAAATCAAATCGTATTGCTTCTCCACGAAGAATTTGAGCCCACAAAAGGCATGTGAGATGTGATGGCTGAAGGCGATAGAAACCCTATAGTCCAGGTTGTTAACAAAAATATTTGTCTAGAGTATCAGTCATGCATACTGTATTTTAAAATTTTATAATGACAGCTATTATTATTCAGTCCTTGTGTTGTCTATAGTAACTAACACAGATTACAGTATCAGTTATATAAATTTCGTCTACTTTAATCTGTTACATGTTTTGAAATTGAAATCATGATACATTTACTGTCTATAGTTTAATTATCGTATGCAGATTGGCTTATTATTTTTTTCACCATTAAACCAAGACTTTATAATCAGTTTTTATTCTAACCCATGCTTTCAATAGATGTCAACAGATTTAAACCATTAGTAGAGCTGGGTGTCCTAGCCCAGGCATCTGTAGGAGGCTGAGGCAGAGAATTTACAAGTTGGAGCACAGCTTGAATAGTGTAGTAGGACCTTGTGTCAAAATAATAAATAATATTTTAAAAACTGGGGATAAAGCTGAGCATGAAGGCTTGGAATTCAATCTCTACTAACACACACACATACACACAACATATCAAAAAGAAAAACTATGTATATATCCACCTGCTCTAAACTATTTAAAAAATTGAGCTTTAAAGAATACCATTAATATTCTATATGACTTCTTCTTTAGAAGACTCTAAATTATAAAAAATGAAGACAAGCAAGATGCAATGTAGATGTATACTAATTTCCCAGGGTGAAGTATTATGTTCTGGAAGTATACACCAACAGAAAAGAAACAGCTGCCTGAAAGAATCAATTCCTATAGTTCCAGCCCAAAAGGAATAATATAATATCTGATCATATCACACTGAAGAGAAGTATCTTGACACTTAACACTGTGTTTGTTGGAACCCAGTACACGTATCTGTTGAAAGATTGCCTGATAATACATTCTTTTGTGTTTTCAATGGACAGCTTTTTTTTGTATTGAGAATCGAACTCAGGACCTTGTACTTGCCAGGCAGGTACTTATGCCACTGAGCTATAGCCTTGGCCCCTGGACAGCTTTTCTATAGAGAATAAAAATCACATAGTTTTACCTTACTCTCTGTTAAGAAAGCAACCAAAAGCCCAGTTCCTGCTTCCTAGGTATTTTGTTATACAAAGTGCACTTGAAGTTTATTAGAACAAGCGGACTATTAAAAAGTACCTCGTGCCTTCCAGAGGAGGCATTTTGTTTTGAAATAGGAGCACGTGACTGGGAAAGCACTTGTCAAGCAAGGTAATGAAGGAATGGGAGCAATAAACAGCGCGTGTATCAGTGAAGAGAGGAACTTTGGCAAAGATGGAATTTTTCTAAAGTCCACTGGTTTCAGTATTAGGGTCTCCAGAAAAAGAAACTCTGCCCAGATTGCCAACTCGCATTTTCAAACAATCCACCTTGGAAACTCTGTGGCTGACCACTAATTTAATTCCTTGAGAACCCAATTTATGCCACAACAGACATTGTTCAGACTAGGAAGGAGCAAATGCTACGGCGCACGGCACCCTGACCATCCCTGGTCACTGTCCCCGGAGCCTGCGCCCATCCTGTGGGAAGAGAATCTCTTTTCCCAGTGCCCCTTTGTCCTCTGGCCCAGACACACTGTCACTCACAAACATCACCCAGGCTTGGATATTAAGTTGAAAAATTATGTGCACACACATAAAGTCTTTGTTATGGCCAACAGAAATTTAGTGTCTAGTACAAAGCAAGTGCATTATAAAGCTCTCATGGCTAATACGCATGGCACAGGGTCTATTAGTTTTAATAACAGAAGCACCTGTTGTGCTCAGGGCTTACAAGAGAATGAATTTAACATAGGGCACATAATTTATAGGATTATTTTGCAATATTCACTCAAAAAGTCAAATGCAGAAGCGTGCAGGAGATCTGTCCACACACTAGAGAAACAAAGAATCCCGCTGAGGCCCTGGATCCCATGGCAATGTGCTGCATAAGTCCAGCTGGAGACTCAGAGCCCATGACAATTCTCATGCAAGTGTGCATCAAGGATCTGCACTGGGAAGGCCGAAAGGTCAGCAGTGGAAGCTAGAAAGTCTGTGCCAGTGGGGTAAAGATCTGTGCCAGCGGGCTGAGGGATCTGCACTGGAGCCAGGAAGCAGCACGCAGAGTAAGAACCAGAGCTCCCCCGAAAAAAATCGCAGCCATCCTCAACAACAGCAAGGACCCAAGCTCCCCAGTCAGTGACAACAGTGGAGTTTATATCAGGAAAGCCAGCGTGACAAGCTTCTCCAGGAGAATCCACAGCACTGTCTTCCCGGCC